GCTTTCCGGCCCTTAACCCCACTCAAACTTCAGTGCTACCGGTTTTCCTTATCCATAGTCGCGCTTTGCGTTATCCGCCACGCGTTGTGCTTGAACCTCGCAGTGCTGTACGCTATCGGGCGCGTCCAAGTTGCGCATCGGGGAATGCCTTCGTTGTGAAGGTAACTTTTACCTAGGTCTCGTTTGCTTCGTAATGCAAGATGGATAAGCAGTCGCGTTTAATCAGTGACCGCGTTTGAGAATTTGGGAAGTTTTGGGTTGGCCGTTTGGTTCTCCATTAAATATCAAAACCAATATGACTAACTCACGTGAATGCCTAACGGAGGTCGGATGACCACCATTGTTGGCCACCGACTTCTGCGTAGGCTGCTAGCAAATACTAAGGAGTATGAGCCACCTGGCCTTCTTCGCATTCAGCGGATGATGTGACGTTCCGGGAAACGTCGTCGAACTTCTGGGTTGCTGTAGACGCGATGTTCGGGTACCCTGACTGGTTTGTTACTAGTGGAAAGTTGTGTCACCTGCTCCTTGCTATATGCGAGTTACGTTAATTGCCTCACTGCCTTGCGAGTCAGGTCATTACGACCTTGGGCTCCGTGTGGGGTCTCCTAAGTCGACCCCTTTACCTAGGCAACCGGGTAGCTCCACACCCACACAGCACGCATGTGTTGTGGCACTCTGCCAACTGTATATTAGTCAAGTGTTGAGGTTTCATATATATATATATATATATATATATATATATATATATGATACGCTTTATTTTATTTGCTCAGTTCCCTTCCTCTGCTGCATATTCCGTGTCATTTTGCACGCTCATTTTACTTCAACTTCTGTGTTGTTTGCTATTCCCGGTGTGCCTCCCCTTGATGTGAATGTCGACAAAGTGCCTACCTGTCTAACGCCCTCCACCTCGATTACTGACTCCAGGGGACTGTCAATCGTTGCTGGGGCGGACGGGGTGCGCAATCTTTGGGGCCGTGCTATGCTCAAAACGTGGTTTCATCCATTGTGGAGCTGACTATTGCCCTGCCACCGCCTTGTGTACATCTGGTACGCATGGCCCCAAAATTAGATAGCGAGAAATGTTGAAGGATTGTGAGCCGGCTGCGATGATGGAACGCGACTCCCATCCACATGCCTCCCGGTCTTATTCCTTCTGGCTTACACTATGTGTGGATAGAGCTGTGTGGTGCAGCGCAAGCCACTCCTGGTTCTGTAAGCGCAGACGTCCTGTGGCTGTCTTATGAAGGCCGCAGTGACAGGTATACCCGGAACCGGATGCTTCCAACCATGTGCTAACCGCGGTCTCTGCATGCTTATTTTCGTCCATGTATTTGTAGTCTTGCATGCGCTGGTTTGTTGCATGTGTTTTCTCTTGTGAAAGCATTGGCTGTTCTACGTGACGGTTTACGGTTGTTTTCGTTTACAGAATTCGTTACAATGATGACTACCAAGTAAGCTAACAATCTACGACGCTGATCTATGAGACTGTTTTCTGACCGACACGTTCAACTCCTTATACACACGCTAGTGCTACTGGGAACTCATCACGCACTTGTTTTCCTACGCATCCCTATTTGAACACAACATTGAGCCATAGGGGAAATTTTCGTCATTTTCACCATCATGTTCATGTATCCGTATGTCATACCTTTTCGTCCCACACTGAATTCTCTTTTTCTCTTTTCAATCTTCGCAATCACTCGGTACCTCTCCATTTTCCCACCTGATCTGCGACAAACCGTCCTTGAGAAACAGCATGCGTGTTTTCGTTTTAACTAGTCGTTGCGAAACAACTGTCGTTTCTACTGATTTGTCATCCTCATACTCAGATACTACCCAAAAGATTTTTCCGTTAAATCACTCTACCCTCTCTTCCGATCCCGAACGCGCTGCATTCCACTCCGGTTTGTGATACCTTGCTCACTAACATCTCGATGAATTCTCGAGTGGGTCGTTGTTACCCATATTTCTCTTCTCGCTTTATCACTCCTTGAGAAGCTACGTTATACCATTCTTTCTGGTCTTCGGCATTTTCTTTGTTTAAAGTGTGCTTTGTGCATCTTGGATCGGCATTGTGCGCCCTCTAGTGTAATATGTACACTAAACTTGAAAAAAATTTTCTCTTCTATCTTTCTGTTTTCCTTAATCGAGTTTACATCGCCCCAGGTGGCCACCACCACTACTCACCTACTCGTAGGGTAGTCCGTTTTCGTTCAATTGCCGTATAGGTGCGTTAATCCAAGGTCTCTCCACATTCAGCACGTTAACATGTTCGCTATCTTACCGGCTATATGTTTACTCTCCTACACAGAGTTCTCGCTTTGACTTTAATTGTTCTGTAGCACGAGTCTTGAATGTGTTAGGTTCAAACTTTGTGGTTACTGTATTGGCTTACTGTATTTTTCTATCCCTGGGGCTTCTTTCGATGTGGAGGATTCATCGCAGAAAGCAGTCCTGCTTTCTTTTTGCATTCCCCGGAGTTATCAAGTCTAATTTCTCTTCATTGCACCACCTGCTTTCATCCAAGTGGCTCAACTTTTGTCCTTTGTTGAGTTAGACATCTTCGTTTGGCGTCTTCTGTCTTACTTCTGACAATCTTCTGCCTATCAAAAGTTATATGACTACCAAACGAACCTACCGAACATTTTTAATGGTTATGCTGTTGTCGTGAATACTAGGGACTGTCGGCTCAGTCTTACGGTAGCAACTAGCACATTGAAAATTCAAAGCAGGTACCAAGGCAGAGCGCAATGACACTGGGTCCGATCCCAAAGATGCAACGTCCGATGGCCGAAAGGATTACACCTTTGCCCTGTAATCCGCAGGCCACCGGTTCTAATCCGCGTAGGTGCAGGCGACCAAGCAGTATATCCAGCCCACGCGCGACTGTTGGAGGTCACGTGGCAACTAAGCGTCGGTATAGTGGGCTGGCGTACTTTTAATGCCTTTCTCTACTGGCTGGCCCCTAAAATGGAGCAGCACAGATTCATTTATGATCCTCCCAATCAGAGATGTCGCAGAATCAAGGAGGCAGCTCTGGCATTTGCCCTGCGTGAATTGACTTCAGTCATTGTGCGTCCATGGTTGCTGATGCAGCTGCCAAGGTAGGTGAAGTGATCAACTACCTCGCGTTCATCGCCATCAAAGGGCAAGGGGTTGTCAACTGGCTGGTGGTCCTGTAATAACACTGCACTTTGAAAGTATGAAGCAGATGCCAAATGATGGGACCACTTCTTAGAGGTTACCCAGGGTTGATTGGGCCGCCCTAATATCATACGCATAATCAAGCTTGGCTAGCCTTTCCCCAGGCAGTACCTCAATGCCTGCATTGTGAGCGTCCGTAACGAAACACTCCAGCATGGTGTATACGACGAAGTTGATCAAAATGGGGACATTGGGCAACCCTGACGAAGGCCACTCGTGATCGGAAAGATACGTGACAAATCACCGTAGACCCTGACGCCGCCTACCGAGTTAGAGTACAGTGCACGTAAAATGTTCACAAATTTCATTGGAACACCTTTCCGCCCAAGTATTTCGAAAAGAATACATCGGTCGACTACATCAAACGCACTCTTGAAGTCGAGGAACACAGCTGTTGTCTGTCTACGGTATGCGTGGTGTTGCTCTAGCGCCTGCTGTGGAGTGAATGTGTGGTCTATGCAGCCCCGTTCTGGACGGAAGCCTGCTTTCTCTCCCCTAATCCGTGATTCTCGTTCCGTAGTGAGGCGATAAACGAGAATTGACGCCAGCAATTATGTTAATACAGGCGTTAGGCTAATACCCCTGTAGTTATAATCGATACGCTCCAGTTAGCCGAGATCGACTCTTCCTTCCGGACATCTTCGAACAGGGAGGTCAGTGCTTTCCACCGGACCTCACCACTATCTTTAAATAATGCCGGAATCCGAGCCAACAGATGGAAACCGACTTAAGACTAAGTTCGCCTTTCGGGCCTCAGCTTTCGACGGAGCCTCTAAACTTAACTGTCCATGGCTCATCCTGCAACAACTGAGTAGCAAGAGGTTCATAAGCAGGAGGCCAACTGAACTGCTCACTATAGTGCTCCGCCCATCGAGCCTTATTGTGAATAATGGCACGCGCACTGTCTCTGATTGTCTCACTGGCGCAGATCAGTTGTGATAGCTTGCGCTGATATCTTACTGCTCCTGCTTCCTCCATTTCTTGAGCCCTGCTAGTCCACCAGGCTTTCTTGTCAGCACGCTGACTCTTTAGTTTGCGCCTAATAATCCTTATGAAATCCAAAAGGTTCACCGACCTCTGGGATATCCAGTGACTGATGCGGTGATGATTAATAGTGCCGCAAACGGAGGCTCGTTCGTGGTGCATGACGTCCGAGATCCTATTCCTTTGAAGCCCAAACCATTAGGCCAAAGGAACAAACGTTCGGTACACAAGACATCTTGGTAAGCTTGCCTGACCGAGGGCTGAGATAATTTCAGTTGCTATTCGGGAGAGACGCTTGGTGCTCCTCCCGGTAAATTTCATAGAAAAAACGACAGTGTGCCAGGGCATGATCAGAGTCGATGCAACGAGCGACAATCCAGGATGAATCCACGCAGCCTGTACTTATGCAAACTTGATCTATTTGGGTCCATCGCTGGTCATCTATAGCTGGACGCCAAGTGGCACTTCGGAGCCCACTATGCCTAAACGCAGTGCTACTAAAATTACAGTTGGTGCTGCGTACTCAGCTTTAACAGTCGCTTGCCGTGGTCCGCTCGTTTCTATCTTAAGTATTTCCTTACCACCTACCAGAGCTTCTGAAGAGCTCGGACGACTCACTTGCGCATTCATATCCCCCACATGAATGGTAATATCTGAACTGAAAACACTGCGTAGTAGCGTGTTCAGTTCGTGGTAGACTGTCCTTGGCAGCATCAGAACTGCAGTCGGTGAGAGCATAAGCGAAAATCACAAACAGCGTCTAGTGGTACTTCGTGAATCAGCTTTCCTTGATGTCGTCAAACGCGCTGCACACAACCGGAAATCTAATGAAGTAGCGATGTCTCAGCGTTGGAGCTGAGAATGGTGCTCACGCCAATTTGACCAGTGATTGCGTCTCCGGATGCATGCAACCAATAACTCGAGGACAGGCAGGGCGCAGTTAATCTAACAACCTTGTGATGGCCATTGATCCTAATTTCGGATACGTTACACACGGCAATATCCAGGGTGTCCAACGTGCGTTCGAGTGCAGCCTGTTGACCTATTTGCGTTAGGGCGCGGAAGTTGAACGCCGCCTGGGAGACGATACAGCGTGACCATATAAGGGACTGTTGTCGTTAGGCGTTCAGTTGGTGGTTTGGGAAGTTAGCTTCAGATGGTGTGACTCCAGTGGCATTGCGGCTGCTGTCAATTGGGCTGGGAGTGATAGGGTGAAGGTTAGTAATGGGGGTTGGGAGGGGAATAAGAGAAACAGGTGGAAAGGGAAATGGGCAGTTGCAGGAAGCACCATGCTTTCGCTTATCCGCCATACTGTATACGGAAGATAAGGTGACCCTTGATACTTTACGTGACAGTCGATGCTAAGAGAAGCCAAAGCCGCCTATCTGCAGAATATCGCAAAAACCTACAGTGCTAACCCCAACCTGCTGTACAAGCATGTCAATAGCCTACGAAAGGTGAGGCAAGGATTTCCTCCATTCAGGACGGCTGATAGCCCAACAAGAACGGCTGTGGAAGCAGCAAACGCGCTGCGGATGCAATGTGCCCCCACGTTTCAGAGGGTCTTGCTACCAAGCGATCTTCCATCCTTTGTCGTCTCCGCCAGAACTAACCCACATCACTTTTACTGTGCAGGCTCTATTGCAAAAGCTGACGTCTCTACGCAAACACAGCTCGCCGGGTGTCGACACCATTCGTCCGGAGGCACTGGAAGCAGCAGCAAGCCAACTGGTAGGACCTTGAGCGCAGTTTGCCAGCGCTGCTTAGACCAGGATCATATTCCCGACATGTGGAAGCTTGGAATAGTAACCCCGATTCATGAAGGTGAAAGCAGAACTGATCCCTCCAACTACCGCCCAGTATCCCTTCTTCCTATACTCTCCACGGTCATGGAATCCATAGTTACCGATGCACTGGTGTGTTATATGGAAAGCTGCAACATCATCACGCCTGATCAGCACGGTTTCCGTCGACAACGGTCATGGACAACAAATTTATTAATCACACGCAGTAGTTGGGCCCGAGGCATCTGATGCTGGAGAAGGCGTTGATGTGAGCTACCTGGATTTTTCCCAGGCTTTCGATCGTCTAAACCATCGGATACTACTCTCTAAGCTCCAGCATTACGGGATCGGCGAACCTCTTAAGCTGGATTGCCAACTTTGTTCTGCAACGGCAATTAGTGGTCAGAGTTCGGAGCTCTTCATCGGACTCCATACAAGTCGTGTGTTGTGTGCCGCAGGGCTCAGTTCTAGGTCCACGTTTGTTTTTGGTGTTTATTAATGGCCTTGCACAGGGAGTCGCTTCCAACTTCCTAATGTTTGCCTACGATATCAAGATTTGACGCAGGATCCAGGCGAACGCCGACCAACATGTGCTTCAGAGTGACCTAGATACGGTGTAACAATAGTCAACCCAAAACTCATTGCATTTCAACATCAGTAAATGCAAGGGGTTTTCCATCTGACATCAGAGCAGCTACTCATACCGGCTCGGAACGAATATACTCTAATGGTCAACTGTTGAGCTTGACTTGGCTGTCCTGGTTCAAGATGACTTGGATTGCTCCAGATAATGCGAAAGGGCCTCGAATACTGGGAACCAACGACGGGCGTTTGGACAAATAAACAACTCCATATTTCGACAAATGCTCAGTGCGTATGTTCGCCCCCATGTCGAATACGCAATTCAAGCCTGGCATCCGTGGCTGAAACACGACCTTAA